CNGGACTTGGGGGGGGGGAGGGGGTACCGGACTTGGGGGGAAAAACGAACCAGAAACGAGTGAAGCTGCTGCCAGGGCAAGAGTGTACCAGACGTAGAACTGACCGAAAGGCGTCCGTGAAGACGGCGACCGCGGGATGACGTAGTGAAGCTGATGTCGGAAAAACTACCTACCTAAGCCGCCAGGACTAAATAAGCAGAGAAAGCAGTAATGCCAAGCCGTAAAGAAGTAGGTGTAGAAAAGTAGATGTAGAGGCGGCGGAGAAGTAGTAAAGCACTGCTGGAATAAAGTTTGCTGCTGGCCTGGAGAGCTGGCTGATTTGCTGGGAATGAAAAGCTGTCGGTATGCAAGTGCTCCTCCCAAACCCCCCCAAAAAAGCGCGACCGACCCTACCGACCCGACTATCCTAGTCCGGCTAGCCGACCGACGCCAACGCGATATACCAAAGAAGCTCGAACCACCCTTTGGACTCACCTGGCCAGGCAGCAGAAGCAGCGGGCAAAGGCACATGCGAGGCAGAGAGGTGGGAAAGTAGTGAGCAGCGAGCGATAAAGACAAGAACGCATGAAAATGCGGCTGAAAGGGACCGGACTTGGGGGGGGAGGGGGGAGGAAAAGGGAGGAGGGGTGTCGTACCCTGGTGATGTGTTTCTGCGGTGGCGAAGGGAAAGGAGGCAAGGGAGCGCCCTCGCCTGTGGTCAGTACAGTGCACTCGCACGTCCTCCCCCTCTTAGCTTGATCGCCCCCTGGCCTTTCCCTTCCCCCCTACTACCCTCGCACGGTACCTCATGTCCGCTCCCCCCCTTCTTTCCCCCGCCGTCGAATACACACACGCAAACACACGCACATTAAAACACAGGATTCCCTCCGGCGAGCGGTGGCGGTGGTTCCCCAGGACACCGTCATGTTCAACGATACGGTCATGTACAACATTCGGTACGGCAGGACGGACGCCACGGATGCGGAGGTGCGTCGGGCTGGTGGTGGTGGGGGTCTTGTTTTGCTGTCCGCGCTGTCGCCTCCCTTTCCCCCTTTCCCCCAAAAACGTACGTACCTGCAAATACACACACATATATATGTATGTATATGTGTGTATGTGTGTGTTGAT